TTCCTGTATTATCACGAACATAATGACAATTATCTCACTACTATATTTTATCGCTGCTTCTTTTCACGGCATACAATTATTTCATCACATAACTAATACTTGACTGTTTTTCACTAGTTTTCCACACGTTTGTTAAATATGTATTTTTTTTTCAGATTCCTTGCAAACACCCGCAAAAACCGCCTGTAATCGTATGAAAATTTGTGTTCTTGTATTCAGTTTATCTGGACAATAAATGATTCTAAAATGTTAACTGAACGTACCTTGCATTCATTGCCTTATTTTTGTGTACTGTGACCTGCGAGCAGAGCGGTTAACAAAACTACCAACCAATAAACATTATACTCCGCACTCATCTGTTTATTTAATACAGTTCAGCAAAAAAAAAACACACACATAAAGTTGATACATTTGAAAGTCATGACATAAACGTCTATAAAATTGTTAATTTAGGATGGTAATGACTAATCATTTTCTCAACATTGAAGGGGAGGTCTGCCCTTTGGCACTCTGTACATGAAATTTGATGAATGAATGTTTTTGATTAAGACAACTTGCATGTGCTGCGAAATGCCCTAAATATCGGGTATTAAACAGGCTATGAAGCAGACGACAAACGTCCGCTTTGCCTGGCGTCATTTCGCCTCTAGAGGGCCAGTCAAATGTCATCACTATGAACACTGATAATTGAACCCATCCATTCTAGTACGTCAATCCCATGGAAATGCTACTAAGAAAGACCTTGTTAACTGAATTTAAAAGTTGAAACATGGCGAGGTGTTGTGCGTATGAATGTCGTGAGGATTCATGTTAAGTTTCTCGAAATCCCAAATGAAAAATCACGTTGTTAGTTGGTTGCGAGAAATCGGCAAAAGAACTAACCTTGGATACATGCATATTAATTACCTAATTTGCATATTGATTAACCGATATTTAGCTTTCCCGACACTATCTCACCCACTATATATGGTCATATGACTATAGTAATATGCATAATTGTAATATCTTAAGTACTTTTACAGATAGGGACATGCAACTGGTGCAATAATTTTGTTGTCGAACAAGATATATCATCGAAATATCAAATCATCATCCATGATTTCATTGAATATTGCCACTTCGACCCCCCTGATCACAGCTTGCAGTAACATTTTTAAATGCCGTATTTGCTCTATTAGAAGCATATGTGCTTACTGTAAATATAAATGACAGAGACAAGTCTACGGTCAAAAACTACATATTTCAATGATTTTGGATACAGTATATGTACTTTATGCAATCAATTCCTTCAGCAACCAAGAGCTTTTTCAAAGCTTTCTTTGATTTAAATAATAAAACAAGGATAGGATTAGACTTCCACAGTTTTTCCATGAACTGTACTTGGTGATTCTTTGTAAGACCTCGGAATATTTTACAATATCCCAAATGTATATTTTACAAGTGGAGATATGGTTTGTAACACCACATTTCACTTCCATACAAACATACCTAGATCGAGCAACTTCATTACAGCACATTCGTCCAATAGGGGAGTGGTCCAGCGTAGGCCCGTTACTGGGGACACTTTTGAGAGTACTAGGTGGGAGAGCCTCCATTAATAATATAATGCCCTAACAACTTACTAACTGTATGCATTCAAACAAGCTCAAAAATGAGTAAAAATACAGTACAAATGGTTCAAATGTACAACGTTATAATAAATGAATTCTTCTGCTGGGGACGCCAGTCTAAGGGAATTTTATCATATTACGTCGCAGTCATTTTATTTTATACCCTATTTATGCATTTCTTTATTGTGTTCTCGTCATTTTTGCAGTGGTTTGTTTAATTCTATGTTAATTTTATATCTATATGCTGTGCATGAAAAACCATTTATGGATGTACTGTTCTAAATGAATAAATTACAATTACAAATTATGTATATATTGTTTGTTTTGTTTTGTTTAAGTCAATGTCATTTACGGGATTTGTCTCGACTCGTTCTTCTCAGCTGTCGTAAACCTCTTACAGACTTAAATTGTATTGCAATTAGGTAATGTGTCCACTGGTATTAAACTTATAACAATTAAATGATAAGAGACAGTGTATAGTGAATGGCCTCTACATGCGAGTTATGACAGTGACAACCATCGGGTGACTGTTTCTATTATGTTTCAGGTTATTGCTACTATTGTTCATTATATGTTTTATGTATTCATCATAAATCAAAATGACAGGAACTGATAAAGGATAAAGTCAAGATAGTCACCTGAAAAAAAAAATATTGTTCTTAAAGACTAGTTAATAAATAATAAACTATTGGGTGACGATAAAACGAAGAATGTTAACGAGAAGCATGCGTGAAAGTTCATCCACATACAAAGTCAAAGATATAGGTGAACACATTTAACATTAATAGTATGACAGTATATACTTAGGTAGTGTAAAGTTGATTATTTTAAATAACGATTTAGCAGCAAAACTAAATTATAATAAAAGCGTACGACGAGACGTCAAATAAGCGCATGCAATCTGTCACTGCATCTGATTGTGTCTCCATTCTGCGCTGCCTGATTATAATACGCTTTGTTCAACGTTAGACAAGCTCCCTTAACTCTGAACAGTGCCAGGCCCGTAGCCAGCACTTTGAATAGGGGGTTGAAAACAACAATAATATATTGATGTGAAACGTCATCTTTTAATTTTAAAAGGAAACAGAGCGAATTCTTTGGTATCTTAGAGGTTTGTTGAAGAAATTTGTTATTCTTGGCTTACTTTGTGTTACGTTGTTAAGTTATTTCACATAACATGTTTGAACTATTTCACCGTTCTTAGAGAGGGGGTTCCTGAACCACTACCCCCTTCCACCCCACCCACAGACAAACACACGCACACCATAGATTCATTGCGGTAAATTGTTGTACACAAAAACGACAAGATTGTACGTATCTTAGCATTATTGTTTATGCATTTTAAGGTTTTTCGCTTTTCGCATGTGTTAGCGCACATAGCCGTGATACTGTTTCGTGACTGTCAGTTTTATTTGCATAATTGCATAGTGTTATTGGCAAAAAATCAGCCCTTAGATCATTATATACTGGACATATAAAAACAATGCGAGTTTCGTTTTCTACCACTCTGAATTCAAACGTATTATTACAAAAACTACAACTTCTTTGATATATCGGTATTTTCATGTGTCTGCCTAAATCAATATTAAGTTTATGGCCAAAACAGCGAAAACTCGCCAGTATATATTTCAGCCTATAATTGCTTGCCAATCAATTTAAGTATCCCCCAGGTTCTAATACTACTTTGATTTTTCCGTAAGTACACAGCCTGGATGATTGTGAAATTGAGGCATGCCATTCCTACTGATAACAATATTTATTGAGTAAATATCTCTAAGAAATTTGCAGTATCCCAAACTTGTTATTTAAATCAGACAACGTCGAAACCAGATTTGAACAGGAGATTTTTGTATGTGGGTTGCCAAGTAAGTCTTCCGGTCTACTCTAATTGTTTAAACATTATATGACATGTTTTCTGGTACCGGCTATTTTTTACTTAAAATATTTTCAACCAATATGAGATACAACACTTTGAAATAAACAAAGAATAATGGCAGCCTTCAACATTCACCCAACATTCGTAGATCTATCAGTTCGTACCCTCTCGATGATTCCGAATATTCGTACCCCCATATCGCTACCATAACAAATAGCTGTCACAATGATTGCATCTAACAAATTAGAATGCTCTATCCAATGACATACCACCAAGTGTTTTTTACAGTATATACATGTCTTGGTTCACTGTAAATCTGTTTTTTTTTCATCATCTTTTTCATCATATGTTACCGACAAAAATTATAAGATATTGGGATATATGCTTGCCATATATAAAATAGTAATATGTCCTAAAACAGACAAAACATTCTAGCTTCACTGTATTTTATTGAGCGATTACGGTGGCTCCTTATTTTATTTCATTAACATAATTTTTTTTACATGATATATGATTTATGTAAAAATAAAACTGTCAATAGTTTGTGTAGCACACTACTCTGATAACACAGACTTTGGCATATCACACAGTACATTACATAAGTTATCCTCATTGGATGTAACTTTGCGAACGTATCCACAACACGATAAATATCGATTTGTTGATGAATGTGGAGCAAAGCTAGAGCTTGCCCCATATATGTATTCAATCTTCTCAATGTGGAGAAATTGCGCTCACACTCGCAGCTTGTCACGGAAATGGTCACAAATATTATTCATTAAATATGTTTGAAAAGTATAATTCGTAGCATACTTTCAGTGCTGAAGCAGCACAGTGGAGTAAATTGTTGGCTCTAAGACCTATACAACCCGTGATCGAACTATTTTACTGATTATAAATCTTCGGGTTTTTTTTTCAATGATCTTTTCAACCCGTAGCAGTACACTATTTTCCAATAACACAGGCTACACGCACTAATACAATAAGTTGACTACATTTGGCTGATTTATAACAGCTTGCCCATTTATAACAACTTTTTTTGGATTGACTACTGTTTAGCCTCCCAACTCAGCAACAGCCAATCAAAGCCGGTATAACTTCACGATTGAAGCTCGTTGCCATCAAAATGCTTATTACTATGTAATTTCGACCGAGTGTGATGTTGGTCAAGTGATTTAAACGATGATAATTATTTTAATTATTACTGTTTGTTTTAATATGTACTAATTTACGACCATAATTATATTCACTTCCCAAATTTAGGGGGTTCGACTGAACCCCCCGAACTCCCCCAAACTACGGGCCTGAGTGCTACGAAAGGGGTGGGATGTTGGGGATGTAGGGAACTTCGACTCGTTTAATAGCAGATAACACTGAAGGACAGAACAATCTTGTGACCGACCATTGGCTTCTGCCATTAACATTATCACGTGATCATCAAGTTTCCCTGCAAAATTGCCACTACTGAACTGTAATATCTACCTTAAACATGCAAGTTGTTAATCCTAAATAATACAGCAACGTTATGTACGTGGTGTCATTTATTGTAGCAAAAGTTAATAATAAAGACTTTTCACCATAAATATATGTTTCTGACATTGCTATACAAATTGTGAGATATTTACATGTAATTTCGTCAAAAAACTTTACAAAAAATAGAAAATGTGCTATTCGATATGGTTACCATGGTTACGAGTGTAAAATGCATTGTTAGTTTACACGAAACTTACATGTGGCGACATAAATAAAATTATTTAAAATCAAATATGTAGTACATGCTCACAATTATTTGAAAAATAGTTTTCAATTTAGTGGTTTGATTAAGTAAAATTTTCAAACACCCCCCCTTCCCCCCCCCCCAAAAAAAAACCCACACACCAGCAGTAACATAATATATTACATAACATAAATGATTATAAGGTACACGCCTCAATAACAATTAGGCAAAAAACAAAATTGGGTCGGTCGGTCGGATTTTTTTTTTATTTAAACTTAATTTAAAATTTAATAGTCGATCAAACGTGTTCGCCATGTTCGCTACCGCTGTACACATGTACGCACACTGACAGCGCTAAAACAACGTGCAAAAGCCGTCGTTTTGTTTGTGATGTAAGCGGACGAGAGTTTTAAGATAAAATGTCATGTTTTGTAAATTCAATACAATTTTGTGCATTTCATGTATTAAAAATTATATACAAACGTATTGTTTTTGATTCATAATAATGTTTTTATTTAATTAAGAAAATACTTGGTGCAGCGATATTTTTAATATCGTCCACCAACTATCCGTCGAATCGCAAATGTCAAAATGTCCTGAAATGCAAAAGACGTGTTTGCTCTTCAGACTTCATAGTATTCGGAACACGTCAGAGACATACAGATCAGCCTGAGGTTCAAAGTCGCCACTGTTCAAACAACGGTCCGGGATCGTTAATTTTTAGAGAAACACTTTTTTACTGCTTAAAATGGTGAGATTTTTGGGCCTATTAAAAAACAAAAAAACCTTACAATATTAGTCATTCTCCACAGTTCCTAATTAAATGAGTATTGTTACCGTAATTACAGATATTATTGAATAAACCTCAAAAGTTCCGATCTCTATTACAGATAAAACTAATCTTTCATGACGTGTATACATTTAAATGACGAATAGATATACATTCCTATATACATTAGTCATTTGCAGCCCTGACTCCAAGAAGGTACTGAATATGCCGGCCTATTATGAGGTTATAAGCTTAAAGCGGGAGGGTCGTCACCTGCGCACGCGCGGGAATTGAGTCCCAAGCGACGACAACAACACACGCTAAACACGCAAAGGTGGACGCTTGTTTATAAACAATGACACGCTATGGCCATCTGACGCATGCACAGGCGACGACTCCCCCGCTTTAAACGTAAACATAAATAGTCACGGGTTGCACGTAACCGACCAAAGGATATGGCTGATAATCGAGGAACAGCCAATTGATCTGTACGTATAATAAGGTAATTTTCAATTTAAAAATTATGGATTCGTGTATGACTATTTTTGTGATATAGTACAAGTACGGCTGCATATCAAATGATATGGCTTATGTTTGTCAAGTCGATAAATCGGTATGTATCGCAAAATTAACTGCCATTTACGTTGTCTTGTGAAATCGAGTGAAATTGACTGGATGCATTAAATTCTGGGCTGGGGTGTAGAACATGCAAATGACTTATGCAAATAGTTATTCACTTGTTCATGCATACTCGTTTGCTCTCCATGCCGTAGCTCAGACTACAGGCTATGTTCCTCAAGGTTCGGTGCTATATAATCACCACCGTCAATATCCAAAGCGGAATACTGATCGTCGTCTTGAACGGGGGCGCTTGGTGCACTTGGTGAGTCACTGGGAGAAGGCGCGTATCCTGGGTTTTCTCTTGGAACATTGTTTCCAACTTTAGGATAGCTATGTCCAATCGGTGACGGTTGCTCGTAGTTTCTGTCGTGCAGTTTTCTCCTGTAGACAACCAGCCCAATTACGGCGCCTACGATAACAACCACAGCGGTGGCGCAGGCAGCAAGGTAAATGGGCAGGTGCTCATCTGGAATGGAAGAATACTTATAAGTCCCCCACGTGTACTGAGAAGCACAGTGAATTACATGTATGGACTTTGCGACCAAAGCAGTGAACACTTTCAACTAGCCTGGTTATAAAATAAAATGTAAAATGAACATGCGAATATACTTTGTTTATTTAAATTTGTGTTATCTTTTGAGCAATTGTTTTGTATACTATTTTATAACCATAGCAATCGGTGCGTTCCATGGGGCAGCAGTACCTGGTCCACCCACTCTGTTCAAACCTGGTTGACGTCACTATTGTATAATAATATCCGGCGAATTCTGTAAGTTCACAGTCCTGGCCACCTGTACATTGATGCTCACAGATCCTAGATAGCAGCGGATTCGAGGCTAGGCATATAATGGGAGCCTGAGTGATTGCTCATAAAACCGAGACCAGCATGAGAAGTTATAACAGAGTGTGCACAAATAAAAAGGGAGAAGTGAGTCATGGCTCTGTTCTCTGTACTCAGATCCGAGTTAGTCCGCGTCAGTCAACTAGTGTATACATACGTGATGACGTCGTCCAAAAAAGGCAAGAACACATTCTTGACGAGCTTTTCAACTTATGTGTTGTGATTGTTAAAGTTTTATCGCATCTACGTTTAGTCCTGCCCCTCGGGACTAAAGGGTACAAAAAATAGCTATTTCACAAGGACGCATGCCGAGAAAAATATTTGTTATTTTAAGTTAAAGGTGGTGGTCGTCGCGTTGCGTCCTGTTCGATGTGAGACTCATAGCGACGTACAAAACGCGTGTAAATTACATTGTTTGTTTACATGGGAATCGAACACGCGCTTCGCGACGACCACCGCCCTTTAAATAGACGTGACATGCTAGTGCCATCATGCCCAATGGCATGCTGTATTAGCTTACTTATCATTGAGTAACCGAGTAACATGTTTATCTAGAAAACACGACTGTAAAGTCGAATAAAATCAAGCTACAGGCCTATTCAAAGACACTAGTGTCTTTGGCCTATTTGACCGATTTATTTAAAACTTGAGTATCTGGCCAATATTTAAAAACATATTCATCATTAATCTAATACTTCACGAACACATCAAACTCAGGTCAAGTTCAAATCGAATTCACGTACCTACATAATAACAATATTGAATAAAATATTAAAATAAATTGAAATAGATGTATTTAATTTGTATTAGGTTAAGTACGAATGGATAAATGAATACGAACATTATTACCAGCCTGGTAGAATTGTATCCTAATTAAACGTTGCACAACAAGCAACTACAATGAAACATGTGAATGGCTAGGAATGTAGATTACAGCATGTGCCAAGTACTGTCATGCAAAGTAGCGTCAATGCATCGATGACAAGGGTTGTGAATTTACAGGATGAGCCAATAGAAAATCAATGCGTTGACCATGGGTAAGGTTGTAAATTAAGTAAAGGTCACACTATGGCCGTGAATGTAAAAACCAAATACTACTATATAATGGCGTGTAATGGTGGCTATGGTAACGATTGACAGTAATATGTTGCAATTAGAAAAGCATCATTACAACTGAAAAAATACATAGTTTACTCTCTATATTTTAATTGTAGTTGAAATTATTTGATCGCAAAGTCACATCCATAAATTTCTGCTTCAAAGGAAATATTCACGTTTCCTGAACATGTTAAAAACATCTAAAAGGAATTACAAGATTTACGACAATACATTGCGCAGGTACCCTTCAAAAAAGCGTCAAGTATTATCGTTTTGACCACGTATAATAAAATGTTTATTAAATATGCATGTGAACTAAATAAAGATTACGGTTTCAATATAATATAACTGAGTCTCCCAAATGTGTCAAATACATTGAACAGCCTAACGGATCAGAAGATATGTTTATTACATGTCTGTACACACGATAGTGTTTTTGAAATAAAAAATGAACAACGCTATGAACAATTGCATGCTATAAATAGTTTATAAAAACAAAACCGGCAGTTATTAGTTGCGTTCACGCACAGCTCCTTAGCACGGGCTAAGAGGTCAAATTCCTTAGCCCGTGCTAAACGAACGTGCATGAACGCTTAGCACGGGCTAAGGAATGCTAAGTACGGGTTAAATCTGATCCGAATTTAAGACGCGGTCTAGACCCTTTATACACGGGCTAACGAAGTGTGCGCGAACGCTTAGCCCAGGGCTAAGCGCCCTCTGCAGCGACCTTTGGGTGTGAACATTATGAACGTGATCAAATATATCCAACTTTCTCATTTCCAAAATGGCAACCGAGATCAGTGTACACGCTTCCACACTGATCGGGTCGCTGTAGTAGAGCGTACAGCAGCTCCAATCGTAGACAAAATAAATTTGGTTCGCTGTCTACGACATGCATTAATAAAACTCTGTATTCTGTTACGCCGTTGTATACTGTTTCTATGCATCCAAATAAGTTGGGACCGTCTTCTCTCGCGTTCCTGTGCACGTCGCTTCAAAATTAGAACGAAACATGTCAGCAGCAGAAATAGAACCTCGCGCGTGTCATCCATTTTTCGTTCACAAATAGCGGCTTGCCAAAGGTCACCAACTGATGGCGCCCCTTAGCCCGTGCTAACGACTGTCCCTCCCTGTGCGTGGACGCAATTGGGTCTAGCCGAAACGCAAATTTGCTAGATAAGCCTTAATCAGCTTAAATCTTAGCCCGTACTTCGTGTAACGTGAACACAATTCATTGCTACGTGTGAGCTTCGGCTATTATAGTTTACGTCTGACGTGTTAGCGTTTAGTAACAAAATCATTGTGTAAATGAAATGGAATGGATTAAACTTAGCAGTCTCTAATGTGTGCAACCAAACTTTCGTAAAAATTACTGAAGTTCTCAAGTTTAGAAAACACAATATGCTAATTATATCTGTTGTGATTTTTTTCACAGTATACATTAGTGAATTTTGATAACCGTGAAAATATGCAAGGAACTAATTGAAATCAAAAAAAAAATTTCCCTATGACCTGTACATGTAATTGTGTTTGTATGTTTCACACTACATATGAATACCATGTACAATTCTCTTGAAATATCACCAGGAAATGTATATATATACTAGTATATATATATATATATGCAAATTACAGGTAATAACTTCCAAAATAGCGCATTCACACACATTCAAAAGTAACACTGCTTGTCATAATCTACTAGTACTAGTAGTCATTTGTATATCAATATTAATATGTACAATAATATGTACTCCATGGTGTAACCGCATAATCAGACTTAATCGGTGTAGTTCTGCAATCTTACATAAACTAACACTGCTATTAACTAGCTACCCACCTTCATCGGATCCAACCCTGTTTTCTAAACACTGTTCATTTTCCACTGACCATAAACATCCACTGTAGGAATTACACTCGCTGAAAGCAAGAATAGCAAACTTATTCGTCACTCATTTATCTACATGTCAATTTGTCCGTTTCCCATTCGCTCTCTCTCTCTCTTCAATTATTTATTTTCTTTCTCACTTTTACTTACCTCGGTATATTAACGAACTCACACGTAACTTTAAAACATTGATACAAATCTTCCGTGTCCAATTCCTCTTCGACTACTCGCGATAACGATGGACTTGGCGGAGTACACGAGGGAGCGTCGTCACTGCGAAAAAGGTTACAGTGTTAAAGCGTACTCTTAGATCATTGCTAAAAATGTCTTATCCATAGTGCATAGCTATTGATATGTGGAATATGTGGTGCACGCAATATGTGCAACTTGCTGAGGGAATATCTACTAAACTTTCAATACTGAATCATGATTTTCAGCATGTTTTAATGTTTGAGAGCGTTTCGTATTTACATTCACCATTTATTAACACGTTCTCAGAAAATACATTCTCAGTACTATCGCGGACTTTTTTTTATAATTGTTAACTGAAATCGAAACAATACTATTGGCCGATTGGAAAACATCGAAACATTTTGTAAGCCTTAAGAAATTATCCATCCGCCAAATATTCATTTGCGCACTTTTCTTGTTGATTGGCTTGATTTATTAAACACCCACACACGCGCAAACAAGAGAATGGGATTATTGTCGTGATAATATGGAAATTTAGTAGATGTGTCTTAGAATACGATGAGAAGTTTGGCCGTTTAAATGCGTACAAGTGAATCCCTACCATAAAATAGCACTTGCAATTTGCACTTAGATAAAATAAAATGACTTCATTTTAAATTTAATGAGAATAAAATACGTTTAGGGTTTTATGCATAACGAGTGGAATGACGTGCGACCAATACAGGGTGTTATGGTCACGAGAGCGCTTGTCATTTTATAAGCGCCTTCCGACATGGCTGCATTCAAAGTCGAGTGAATCAATGGCGATTTTAGGAGATAATTGTTTATATCACTATCGATCATCACTGATATATAAAAAAATGCCGCGTCGCTACAAATGAAACAAACGAATAGGGCTCCAGGCAGTTACATGCATTCCAATGCTATCTGAATGGCGGAGAGACCCGAGCCATGTTGATATACAGTATACCTACAAATCACTGATGTGATCAAGTTTTGGGTTGCATTTTATGGAATTTAAGTTATTTCAATCAATATACTGTAAAATACTTTATTTTCGCTTGGAATAAGGAATAATTCAGTGAAAATAAAATCCAGCGACTATACCAATATCCAATATTTTACATTCAACTTGTTTAAAAGTCAGTGGAAATGAATTCCATACAAAACATCCAAAAAACTTTTCAGCGACAATTAATTCCAGCTAAAACAAAGTATTCTACAGTATATAACATTCTACATAAAATTGAAATTAAATTGCATTCCTAAATGGGATTGAGATACAAGTTTAATTCTAATTGAATGAATGTAATTTAACGGAAAGTGAGTTAGCCAGTAGATTTTCAAAGTAGTTTTATGTATGGATACCTTGAAAACGAGAATTGGTCGTTACAGAAGTCGTATCGGGCTGATGATAAGCATGGACATTCGCAGTCGTCATTATCGTTCCGTTGACAGTGATCCTACAGAGCACAATACAGATTGGTATGCATAAGTAGAGCATAGTCATAATACTGTAAATGAAAGTAGTACTAGTTGCTTTTATGAAGCGAGTGTTAAACACGGGATATGGTAAAGAATAGAACTCTGGCGCCAATGGACATCGAGATCTCGTTGAAAGCGAGAAAGTAACGAGACTTATGTCACCACTAATGAGAACGGCATACAGATCCCTCACTATAACGATGTGGCAATAACAAATACGTGCCATCACTAATAGAATGGCATGATACAAATCCCCCACTGTAACGGTGTGACAGGAACAAATAGGTGTCATCGCTAAATAGAAGGGCATGATATAAATCCCTCACTATAGCGATGTGACAGGAACAAATGGGTGCCATCGCAAAATAGAACGGCGTGATACAAATCCCTCAGTTTAACGATGTGACAGATAGGTGTCATCGCTAAATAGAACGGCATGATACAAATCCCTCACTATAGCGATGTGACAGGAATAAATGGGTGTCACCGCTAAATAAAAAGGCATGATACAAATCCCTCACTACAGCGATGTGACAGGAATAAAAAGGTGCCATTGCAAAATAGAACGGCATGATACAAATTGCTCACTATAACGATGTGACAGGAACAAATGGGTGTCACCGCTAAATAGAAAGGTATGACACAAATCCCTCAATATAACTATGTGACAGCAACAAATGGGTGTCATTGCAAGTAGAAAGGCAAGATACAAATTGTTCACTATAACCATGGACGTACTAGAGACGTACGCTGCACGGTGATTCACACCTGATAAGACGCATTGTCTTTCTATTGTACTCATCTTAAATTTATAAATAGGCAGACG